AGGGTCATTATATTACCTTTGTTATCCCTGCCTTTTAGCCATGGCGGTGGCAGTGGCAAGGGGAGGACCAATCTGATCTGCCATTGCACTTGAGGATGGGAGAGAAAAGAAAAGTTTCTCCCTCCACCTACTTCACGGACTATAGGGAAATGTAGCAGATGACACTAATAGCAATGAAATCATTCCCAGCTGCTCTAGGTCCCTTACAGCCACTGCTCAACTAGCTTTGTTCCCAGTGGCTGCTGAGGACCCAGGTGGGGCTGCAGCAACAGTGGGGCTTCCGCCACTGGCTTGCTTTCTCTCTCTCAGCTCTAATTGGTTTCATTCAGCCCTGCAATCCACATACCTCACCCAGATCCATTCCTTTAGAGGGTGCACCTGCTGTGTGCGCCCAGGTTGGGTGTGTACTTCCTTCAGGGTTGGTGGGGTAACTTGAGAAACTGGAATTTGACAGGCTGCCAGGAGGCTCGAATATAAAGGTATTTGTCCTATCTTTAATGTGAAAACAGACTCTGAATTGGACCTGGATTCCTGGCAAGGCGTGGCTCCTGGCTGTCTGAGAGTGCCTAGTATTCTTCAGGGACAGTTGTTGGCAAGGTCCGGATGAGCTTCTTTCTTGGAAAACACAGGGTTCACCAAAGTCAAGTTGACATCCCTTTCTCCTCTAACTTCTTTCTTCTGGTTTTAGGACCTCAAAGAATTGGTAGAAAAACTGGAAAAGAATGAGAAGAAGCTGAAAAAACAATTGAAGATTTATATGAAGAAAGTCCAGGATCTAGAAGGTACTTAATAATGATAAGAGTTGGCGGGTGCTGGACATGGGGAGGGAGAAGGCAGGGCCTAGGACTGGGTAGTTGTTTTGTGAGAAGTTTATCTGGGAAAACTGAATTTTTGTTTCCTATTTTCTGCCAAGAACTTTCCTGCCTTTTCTGGGACTTCTTCTATTTATCAAGATTTTGTTTTGTTCTTTGACAGACAATAATTAGGCACCTCAGTATGGTGTATAGCATACTATATTAGGCACTTGGGGTGAGGAGGAATTAAGATGAAAGTGACACATTCCCCCTTCCCCCAAGACCTAATATACTACTAGGTAAATACAACATGTATACTCATAAAATCTATTACAAAATGCATTGTAATAAAGGCAGAGAGATCAAAACAAGTGCTCTAGGAAAATTTGAGGAGGGGAAATCACTCTTAGACATAAGACAAAGATTGCTGGAGATGATACCTGAGCTGAGTTTTTGAAGGAAGAGCAGAACTTCAACATACATGTTTCCCCTTGCTCAGTCATTCAGTTGTGTCTAACTCTTTGTGACTTCATGGGGTTTTCTTGGCAGAGATACTAGAGAAGTTCGCCATTTCCTTCTCCATCTCATTTTACAGATGAGGAAACTGAGGCAAACAAGTTTAAGTGACTTGCCCAGGGTCACATAGCTAGTACATGTCTGAGGCCAGATTTGAACTCAGGAAGATGAGTCTTCCTGACTCCAGGCCCAGTGCTCTATCCACTAAGTCACCTAGCTACCCATACATGTCCCCTGCTATTTAGAAAACTTTGATGGTTTTCCATGACTTATAAGATAAAGCCCCTCCACAATCCTTGTCAGCCTTTCTGACCACCTTAACTATAATGAATTTTCACTCTCTGCCTCTTAGTATAACCTACCTTCACCACTTTTTGGGCACTTAGCATAATATACTTTTATATTGTTATCTATATGCATGCAGTTGTGTCTGAAACTCATGGATAAATCAGCTGAAAGTAGCTATGCCTTACAAGTCTTTGTGTCCCTTCGTGGCCCTGCACACAGTAGGTCTTCAGTGAAAGTTTATTAATGGGGAGTCTCCATTTCATGCCTACCAGCCTAATGCATCATACATTAAGAAACACCTCAAGGTTTCTTTCACTTGGTTTAAGCGAATTAGTTTCATTTTTGTTTTTGTAGGCTACTAAGATACCAAAAGTTCAGTTATATGATGAGTCTTTCCAGAAACCTGCCTAGCCTTTGGGAGGCTCAAGTCCCTCCATGATGAGTTAAGCAACTGAAACAAAAAATTAACTAATTGCTTCTAGAAAGCCCAGCACCTATCAGTTCTGAAACCCCTATGACCCATGGAAAGGATTATTATTAAATGCCTAGTTTTGAGGTTAGAATTATTTAACCAAAAGATGCACTTCCCATTGCATCTTCTTATGAAATTGAAAGACCATCCATCATTCCTAATGTTATATATCCCCCTGTAGAGATATCAGAATTTTCAAACACAGGTAGACTAAGTCCTTTGAGGTCATCTAATCCAGCCCTTTGCCCCTAGGGCCTCTATGTGAAGCATCCAATAAAAGTGACTCCCTCTTACCCTTCATTACAACTTTTTAGAGACGACAATGCTTGTTTTCATTTTTATCTTTACATCATAGTATCTAGAAATTGAGAGCTGGCCTGGGAATCAGGAAGACCTGCATTCAAATCCTATCCCAGCACATACTGGCTGTGTTACCCTGGTCAAATCACTTAACCTCTCAATGTCCCCTTTAACTCTATAAGTTGCCAAGCAGGCGTTTTGGTAGAGGGAGTTTCCTCATTCAGAATTCCTTATATCAATGATATCATGGGTCAGGATTTTTTTTTCTAATCCCAATGCCTAGCACAGTTCATGGCTCATAGTAAATATAACCAGATGCATATGAAATTAAGTTGAATTCTGCAGCCATGCACAGTACTGTTTCACAACTCCCATGGTCTTCTGATTAACCTAAATGCCCTTTTGCTTCAGATTGAGCTCATTCTCTCTTCTGTGATCCAAGTGGGAAAGAGCAGCCTGCCAGTGGGTGTTATTAAAGTTTCTGTCCTATGTCCTTCAGGCAGCTGGGCTAGTCCCAGCCCTGAAGGGAACATACCATGTTGAAACAATTAAGAATCATAGAAGGCAGTGTGTAGTGAACTGCTGGAGACTCTTGGGAGAGGTCAGAGTGTTCTGTCCGAGGGGAAGCCAAAAGCCTTAAAGTATCCCTTCCACTCACAGGTTAAAGGTCTCCCCCTCCCAGATTGATTCTTTTGGGAAGGCAAATTAGGCCTTCTTTTGTCTCAGTTCTTACCTAAACTTTAACTGAATGGGTGTTGTCTTAGACAAACTGAGACCTGGGAAAGATTTTAGCTTAGAAAGGCCAAGGTCTCCCACTGCATTTGGGGCCATCATCAGTCCTCCAGATCTATATCTTGTCACTGGGCCTAGATGGCTCTGGAGGAGAAAATGAGACTGGTGACTCTGCATAGCCCTGCCTCCAATTCACTTGCAAGTCAAGACATGACCCCCCTGATGTCATTGATCCTTTTTGACAATGAAGGACGAACAACAAACAGCAATAGTCTGGTCATCATCATCTCACTAGCCTCCTAGTTGGTCCTAGAATTTATCTGACAGTATCAATTAATGCTTCTTTTTGTCTTTCTTCCTCCTTTAGCTGCCCAAGCATTAGCACAGAGTGAGAGAAAGCGACATGAACTTACCAGACAGGTCACAGTCCAGAGGAAGGAGAAGGATTTCCAAGGGATGTTGGAGTACTACAAAGAAGATGAGCCCCTTCTCATTCGGAATCTGGTGACAGGTTAGAAGGGGATTTTATGACCCTTTCATTTCTGCAGCTGCTTTGGAAACTCTAGGACAATTTGATAAAATGGAAAATTGGTCCTCAGTGGGTATGGTTATATCTGAACCTAAGCTTGTGGGAATTTGAAGAGGGTTAGCCCTCTGGGGTTTATAGTAAAGGGGAATTTAGAATGAGGAAGAGAATTGCGTTGTGCTGATAGAGCTAGGGTGGTGCTAAACTAAGGCCAGGGTGCATCTCTCTGTGATTTCTAGGCTGAGCTGTTGATACTCTGACTCCTAGAGGTAAAAGTGCTTTCAGTGGCATAAAGCTGTAGACAGTGCGAGGGATGAAACAATTCATTAGTGGACATCATGCTAACTACTGAGGAATCTTCTACTCCACCTGCCACTACCTAACTCAAACAAAGAACTGGGGCAAAATAGTAGACTCAGGGTGTCTCAAAAGTGGAAGAAGGATTTTCCTTGGAAAGCTAGAAAGAGGTTGGGCTGAATGCATTTCAGGGTCAGTTTGCATTTGAGTATGTAAGTGTGTGTGCATATATATACATGTATTTTTAGAAGCCCCAGATTTATTCTTAGGGAAGTCTTTGCAGACAGTATGCCCTTCTCAACAGCTTCTTCCCTTTCATGAACCCCAAGCAGATCCTAGCTTCAGTTCTCTAAAAGGCCTTTCTCGCTGCTGATGTCCCCGACTGCTTCTGGCCATGGCTTATTTGACAACAAAGGGAGTTATGTGGGCAGCAATACTGAGAAAACTTGGAGTTTATGGGAAGACCTGTATTGGGAGATTTGGATTCTACTTCTGATTGTCAGTGACCCCCAAGCAAGTCATTGAACTAATCTGTTTCCTCATCTGACTTGATAAATCCAACCAAAAAATAAAAGAAGTTAAGGAAATGAATAGAATTTTAGAAAAGTTATGATATGATGTGATATGATATTAGATATGATAGACCTCTGGAGAAAAGTGAATGGGAATAGAAACAAATATACCTTTTCCTTAGTGGTGTATGACACTTATACAAAAATTAACCATGTATTAGAGCATAAAAACCTCATAACCAAATGTGGGAAAGCAGAAATATTAAATGAATGCTTTTTAGATCATAATGTAATATTAAATAAAAAGCCATGGACAGATAGATTAAAATTAATTGGAAACTAAATAATCTAATCCTAAAGAATTAGGGGGTAAAAGAATAAATCTTAGAAAAAATAAATATTTCATTAAAGAGAATGACAACAATGAAACAACATACCAAAATGTATGGGATACAGCCAAAATAGTACTTAGGGAAAATTTTATATCTCTATTTTCTCATATAAAGGGAAGATAATATGAAGTATTTGCATCATGTGACTGTAATGAAGGTCAAATGAATAAGAGAGATGAAAGAACTTTGAAAAGTAGAACAGTGGCCTACATGGTGGTGGACTCCTATAATCTCTGCTACCAGGGGGGTGGAAGATGGCAGCTCTCTTGACTCCGGGAGTCCCAATTGTAGTAGAACAAGCCAGTTGGATGTCCATACTATATATGGCACCAACATGATGAGCCCCTCAGAAGCAGAGGGCTACCAGATTACCAAGGAGGGACAAACCAGTCCAGGTTGGAAATAGAGCAAGTCAAATTTCCTGAGATGAACAAAGTGGGACTGGGCCCATGAGGAGCCCCTGTACTTCCATCCTGGGCAAGACAGAGAGGCCCGATCTCAAAAGAAAGGAGAGGAGGAAGGGAGGGAAGGAAGATGGTGCTATACCAGTTCCAGAAATAATCATTCATCCATCAGGCAGAAAGAAAGCATTGAGCACGTAGTCTCCTAGGTTCTGTGGGGATGTATAAGGGGGTGTAATACACAAACCTGCCCACAAGGAGTTTATGGTCTAGTTGTTGGTTTGTGGGTTTGGACTTTTTTTATACCTTTTATGTCTAGACCCGGCCCTAGCACCTCTTACAAAGATGAATTTTTCCCAGTGGGTCCACAGCTAGAAGTCTGCTCAGCCACTAAATATGGCATTAACATAGGGTGATATGTAGAGGTTGAATATTGGTTTAAAACTCTACCAGAGTTGTCTTTAATATGTAATTCTTGGCAGTTTAGCACATTAACATAATACATGAGATTTTTAAGTTCATGATATCAAATGAAGAGAGAAAATGACCCTAAAAAATGACTCTGGGGGCAGGTAGGTGGCTCAGTGGATAAAGCTCCTTGGAGTCAGGAGGACCTGAATTCAAATCCGACCTCAGACACTTGACACTTACTAGCAAGTCACTTAACCCCATTGCCTAGCCCCCCCAAAAAATGACTCCTACTTGTATTTGATTCTTAGAAAGTATAACACAGTCCCTTGTAAATGACTAGTGTGTAGAGAGAGTAGACATTAACCTATCAACTTACTTAGGGAATTTAATTAGTTCTCCCCTATAATGTGTCCCCAAAGAGCTTCTTTTCAGTTAAGCATCAAACACATTAGACACCTAACTTTACACTTAGCATTGCAACAGATTCTAGATTAGGGGGGAGGGGGCAGGAGGAGAGAGAAGTAGAAAAAATATATAGACACAAGTAAACGAGTGTAAGACAGACACTAAAAACACACATTAAATATTAATAATGTAGAAGTTGCCACCAGACAGTAGACAATGGTTAAATCACTAAGACAAATAGTAAATGCAATTGCATCAAAGGAGGAAGTGATCAGTCCTTAGTCGCTCCCTGCACCTGGCAGAATCACACTTCCTTTGGGGTTGGACCCCTTTATCACACTACCTTGGCACACAAGACTTGCATCATGGTATTGTAGCTAGAAAGTTGGACTTGAGTCATGAAGACCTGAATTCAAATTCTGCTTCAAGCACTAACTAGCTGTGTGGCCCTGAGCAAATGACTTTGCCTTTTTGAGCCTCAGTTTCCTTCTCTGGAAAATGGAAAGAACAGTAGTACCAATCTCACAGAATTGTTGGGAGGATCAAATGAGATCATATGTATATAAGGCAGTATAAAAATCTAGCTTTGGTGGTGGTGGTCAAATGGAAAGTAATTTTATGCCCTGGGTATTTTTCCAGGGCGGGCTTAGAAGCTAGCTTTATATCAATTTGTTTCTTTGGTTATATAAGCCTTTTCCTTGCCTAGAAACTCCTGTCTTGATGCACAAATGCACCAAGGATCCATGATTGTCATGCTCGCTTACTCTTCTAGTATAGAACTGAAGGGCCAGAGAGAACACCTGAACATTGCAGTTCAAACAATGAAAAGAGAAGGTTTAAAAATAAATCCAGAATAATTCCTAGGTGAATTAATTCTGTACAGTAGCATTTGCTAGGAAATCCAGGCTTGCCAAAAAAAATTTTAGATAGTAAAGCTGCTGAAACTTCCTTAGGGGAAATATATACTCAAACTCTACCTTGGCATGAGCATGGTGGCCAATTGTGTGAGTTCTCGTGCCTAGACCAATGTAAGGAGAGAGAGCAGAATAAAAAAACTGACATGGCCAGAGGCTGCCATGAAATCTACAAAGTGGCTTCAGGTGTATTTATAGACTTGTTCAGTTCCTTCCTCCAGGATGCACACTGCAGTTATAAGAGCAAGGTGGGATACTGATGTGGTTTGTCTGCCCCACCCCTTACCTCTCATAAATTCAACCATTTAACGTTTAAACTGATATTGAAATGTGCTTTATTCTTGATTTTTACAACACTTTTTTTTTTATGCAATACTTATTTCCATGGTGAGCCAAGACTATAGCAACCTCAGGTTTCTTCCTAATAGTAATTCACTCCTATGTTCCTTATTCTTTTGATAGATCTGAAACCCCAGACTCTGTCAGGCACAGTTCCATGTCTTCCTGCCTACATCCTCTATATGTGTATCAGACATGCAGATTATGTCAACGATGACCTTAAAGTGCATTCCCTGCTCACTTCAACCATCAATGGCATCAAGAAAGTACTAAAGGTAACTAACTGTTCAGGAAATCTGGTGTTTGAAATAAACATAGAAAACTCAGCCTGCCTAGACTTTGAGGGGAAGAGGAGAAAGGGAGAGTGTCTTAGAAAAACCTTCTCCGCCATAGGCAAATGACCCAGCTATATATACCTCTTGTATATTCAGCATCCTTGATGAATGAGGGCTTCACATAAGCTTATCTTTCAGTTAACAGAAACTGAACCTCTCCAAGCATCACAACTTAGGTTTTAAACCTTTCCAAGGGAAATCTTTTTAAAAATGGACTACATACTTTCCTGCTTCCTAAAACAGATGATACTGAAAGGAATATCATCTTTTAGGGATGACTCATGGCCACTGTCATGAACATATATTATTGTACTTCAATTCTGTGTTTGATTTTTTAGTTTGTCTGCTCCTGTGATATTTGGCTATTAATTGCTCAGCTGAAATAGTACCTGATTTCTAACCCTCCTTCCCACCCCCTTCTATTTTATTGCTTCAAATATTCTATCATCTATGAAACTAGACATTCATCCATTCATTAATTCATTCAACAAACATTTTTAAGCACCTCTTTTGTGCAGAGCCCTCTTCTAGGCACTAGGGGAGACAAAAGAGTACTCAAAAAGGGTATAGTCTAGTGGTGCATATGGCACAGAGATTATGATAATATGCAACCATACACGAATGAGATGCAAAACCAAGTAGTTGGTGAGATTGGGGGGTGAGTGTAAATTGTTAACAGCAAGTAGATTCCCAGGGAAGTTTTCAATGAGGAGGAAACATTTGAATTGGGCTTTGAAGATCAATTGAGATAACATATGTAAAGAACTTTGCAAGCTTTACAGCATTATATAAATGTGAACTGTTATTAAAAGGATGGTTGTTTAATACATGCTAATTGATAAGAAAAGAGAAGAAGGAATGATATTCCTAGGCAAAAGCAATAGTATCAGCAAAGTCACGAGGGCAGGAAGGTGCATGGAGTGTATGGGTTACTCTTTACAGAGAGTAGACTAGTTTGGCTGAAGTGTGTGGCAGTTAAGGCTGGAGAGAGGGTAATGCCAACTATAGAGGATTTTGAATGCTGGGCTAAGGAGTTTGAACTTACATAGAAGATCATAGAGAACCACTTAAGATTTTTGAGCCAAGCAATCTATTCATCCAAAAGATTATTTTGGCAGGGATATGAAGGACATATTGAAGGAAGAGAAGGGGGAGGAAAATGGAGACAAGACCTGAGAGGAGGCTATTGCAGTTGTGTGTACAGATGGTAATGAGGATCCATACCAGAGTGGTGGTGGTAGGAATAGAGAGAAGGGGATAGATGGAGGGAAATTACAGAAAAGGAGCCAATAAAACTTGGTAGCTTTGGGATATGAGAGGCAAGAGAGGGAAGAATCAAAGATAACCCTAAGGCTAGGTGAATAGCAGTGCCACAGAGAAACATAATGAAGTCAGAAGGAAGAACAGGTTTGTGAGAAGAGATTGATTAGCTGGATTTTGGAATTTGAGGTGCAGATGGTATATCCAGATGGAGTTCTTCTGTTGGCAGCTGACAACGCAGGCAAAGAGCTCAGAAGTGAGGTTGGAAATATAAGTTTGGGCTTCACCTTCATAGAAACAGTGGTTGAAGCTATATGAATGAAAGAGATAGCTAGGGAAGAGAGGAGAGGGCAAAGTACATAATCTTGGGGAACATCCACATTTTAAGTGTAAAAAAAATTTTCTTATTTGTAAAATGGGGATTATGATATTTGTACTACCCCACAGAGTTGTTATGAGAAAAGCTTGCAAACCTTAATTTTCTTTTTTAATATATTTTTATTTCATTAAATATTTCCCAATTACATTTTTTAAAATTAACATTCATTTTTTTTAAATTTTAATTTTCAAATTCTCTCCTGCCCCTCCATGACCCCTTGAGAAGGCAAGCAATATGATATCAATTATACATGTGAAGTCACTTAAACATATTTCCACATTAGCCGTGTTCTAAAAGAAAATACACACACACACACACACACACACACACACACACATACACATACACACACACACAAGAAATAAAGAAAGTGAAAAAAATATGTTTCAATGTACTCAGAGTTCATTAGTTCTCTCTCTGGAGGTGGATAGCATTTTTCATCAGGAATCCTTTGGAATTGGCTTGGATCATTGTATTGATCAGAATAACAAAGTCTTTCACAATTGATCATTGTTACAATATTGCTGTTACTGTGTACATTGTTCTCCTGGTTCTGATCAGTTCATATAAGACTTCCCAGCAAACCTTAGTTTTTTATACACTATCCCAAAAGTCTTAGCTTAAAAATGCACTAAGACTTCTGGAACCCACTCTGGATTACTATTATCTCTTTGGCTGAATTTTTCTGAATTTTAGGACTCACTATGTGTTACTATTATTTCCTTGGCTGAATTTGTAATCCCATCCTAGCTCCACAGTGATTGGCTGAGCTGATAGACACAAGAGAGGGTCAATAGGTATTAGACATTTTTACTTTCTCTGACTTCTGGGAACCAACCATTTCTCTACCTGTGGTTATTCTGAGTCATTGGCTTAGATGGAAGCTCCTTCCTGGATGATGGATCCCAAAGACCACATGTTTTTACAATCTACCAATGTAAATCCCAAGCAATATCCACATAGTCTCACCATCATCTTCATAGCTGGATAATGTCTTATTACCATTTGGTGTGTTACAGTACTTATTGGCCTCTTCTCTATACAACCACTCTTGGTTCTTTGATTATACAACCATTATTGGCCTTTGTGTTTCCCTAATAAAGTTATCCCTTCCACATTGTGACTTTTTCCATTGCAGTTTCAATATATCACAGGTTGGCATAAGAAACTAAGTAGGAATTTTTTGACAGAATTTTGCGGAAGCTGCAGACAACACATGAAGGCCAGGAGATAACACAGAACTTTAGAAACTCAGAAATGCATAAAATATATGTATAGTATTATATAATATCAGCTTGTGTTATCTTTTAGTATCATAATAATTCAGACTTTTTTCTGGTATAAAGGGAAAGCCAGAAAATTTTATGTGGATTTTTCAGTTTGCAGGGGCACCACCCCTAATCCCCATGACGTGGAAGAGTGAACTGTATTCTTTACTGCTGTTGTAAGGAAAATGCTCTGTAAACCTTATAGCACTACATACATATGAGGTATCTGGCTGGCATTAACTCAGTTGGTTGAAGTATGGGGTTTGGAAGGACTGTGCCATAGGTACAAACTTTGCATATGCCCAGTTAATAGCATGTTTTTCTGCTGCCATGGATACCACTCTTAATGCTAGACAGCTGTCTTACAGATGTGTGCCACTGGGGTACTGGGTGAGAGAGAGGCATTTTCTAAAAATGTATCCTTGTGATTAGAGAAACAACTCAACCAAGTAACTTCTTGATAGTAGCCTCATCTTTGGGTTATCGTTATTTAATTAAAGCCCTGTTGGATAACAGAGTAGAAACCACTGAGAAACAGGCACAGGAGGATGAAAAATGGAATAAAATATAAGAGAATAAGATAAATATATCTTATATAATTCTTTAAATAATAAATAAGATTAAAAGATAATTAAAAAATAGATGGACTGCAGTCATTCAGTAAATTTCTTTTCCCCTCCAGAAGCACAATGATGACTTCGAGATGACATCCTTTTGGTTATCCAATACATGCCGCCTTCTTCATTGCTTGAAGCAATACAGTGGGGATGAGGTAAGAGAGGGACATTATGTTCAAAGTCTACCAAATACATCAGTACTGAGGGGAAGAGAGGAAGAGAAATGGAGAGGGAGAGAGGAAGAGAAAAGAAGAGGAGGAAAGAGAAGAAAAGGAGGGGGGAGAAGGAGAGAGAGGAGGAGAGGAAGGAGAAAAAGGAGAAGGGGGAAGAAAAGATAAAAGTAGTAGGGAAAAGGAGAAAATAAAGAAATATCTTTGCCCTGCATTGAGAATTGTCATGAGTCAGTCTCCCCAGATCTAGCTGAGCTGGTCCATCATTGGTATTTGAACCCTTTCTAAACTGGTAGAAACCATTTGTGTTCCACAAGCACAGGATCATTAACAACCCAGGATCATTTCCACGCCACAATGAGGCATCAGAGAAAGGTGTATGTTTCATATATGTATGTATGTATGTATATATATGTATATATATATATATATACACACACACACATACATATATATGATATTTTTAATATAAATCTCTGATGTCTAGACTGGTAT